GTCCGCCGCGAGCTTCCATCACTGTTCCTCTCATCAGCGGTGAGGCGTCAGCCGGAAAACAAGTGAGAAAAACCTCCATTAACTTTCGGGCCACGCCATCATCGGAGTTGGAGCCCACCACCTCCATATGCGGCAACGACTCCCCCAAGCGTCGCTGCCCGTTGCTCATGATGCACCCCTTCGCCACGGAGTCGAGCATTTCCATGTCGGTCATGCTGTCACCAAAGGCAATGACGTCCCGTTCGGGATCAAAGTTTAGGATCCTGCCAATTTCCCGGATCGCCGTAGCCTTCGATACCCCTGCGGCAACGACATCCAGGCACGTATCTGACACCAACGCGGCCACTGCACGTCCATGAAACAATTCACTGATTTCATTCTCGTAGCGGTGCAATATCTCTTGGTCCGTGCATAAAAAACTCACTTTGGCGACAGCGGTGGTGGGAGACGTCCCAAGAAGATCTGAGTGCACTTCCGGCAGCGCTGCCCAAACTCCACGTCACCCATGTCCTCCTGAGGTATTGTGAAAAACAAAACCCCTTCCTGTCGGAGCATACGCTTAGCTTAAGCTGCTCGAGGTGCACCGTGGCTTCCTGCAGCATAGCCCTTCGTGCCAGCAGCACAACATCAAAAAGTTTCTGGCATTCGAACACAAGCTGCTGCCTCATGTGCTTTGCAGAGTTCAAACTGTTTCCTTAGCTCCAAATGCATTGTTTGCTCTGACTGAAGCGCCTCGCGGTAAAGTTGCCGCTTTTCCTCCCTACACTCCTCGTACAACGCCGCAGTTCGCTGACAAAGCAATACATGCTGTTCCTTGCGCCAGCGCGCCTTTGCCTCCCGCAACGCGGCAGAACGCCTCATGTACGCACGGTACGCGCTTGTGAGCAGCAGGGCAAGTCGCCGGCACATTCTTTCGCAATTTTCGCGATTGCTGCGTACCCTCGCAAGGTAGCCGCGTCCGCAGCTCTGCAGCCGAAGACAAAACTTTGCAAGCGCCTCGTTTCTCTGGCGTTCCATGATGGGAAACGCCTCGGCCTTCATAAACACCTTCGTCTTCCCGAGCTGTGCCATGATCTTGTTGTTTACCTTGCACGCGGTAAGAATCACCTGCGCTAATTCACGACCACTCCTTCCCTGAGCTTTACTGCCAATAATAATCATGTAGCGCGCGTTAAACTTATCAAAGAGGTTTCGCACCGGGTATCCGGCCTTGCGTACCTTCACCGTTCCCAACACCCCACTGGACTCAAGCTGCCGCATTGTTTGCACCCCGTCAAACATTAATGGCTTTTTTGCCGGGTGCGGCTTAATGCAGCGAATCCAGTGCGGGTTGGTACTGTTAATCACCTCCATAAGTGCTGCAAGTTGTCCTTTGAAGAAGGCGCCAACTGTCAGTCGCTTGCTGCGCGTTTCAGGTGGAAGTGGAGGTTCCAGAAGCTCCCGGATGAGGGGGTCCTTCGAATTCCGCATCAAGCGCTTCACCCCGTCTTTGAGCGTGTCTCGGTTCTTCTCCAGCCAGCCATCAACATTGTACGTGACGCTTGCGGCGTAGTGGTGAATGATGAACGTGTCACGACTCACTTTCTTCTTTTCAAAGAAGGAACTTTTTCCTGTGTGCGCCTGGTGTAGCTTCTCAAGGAAGGCAAGCTCACTGCCCTTCCCGAGAGTACACTCCTCGTCCAGCAGGGCAAGAATACCGCCCTTGCCTACGATAAGCCGCAGACATGGGGCGTTGTCAGGGCACGTCACCGCGGTGACGTCAATGCCCTCCTCGCGGCATTCGTCCATGTCCTTCTCAAAGATGTACTTGTTGTAGTGATTTTGGAGTGTCTCGTTCGTCAGGTTGATGCAGAGCTGTTCAAAGCTGTTCCTCGTAAAGTTCTCAAACCCAAAAATGTCCAAGAGACCAATCCAGTTTCCTTCCGCCGCAACATCGCATATCTGATTGCTCTTGTCGACGAGCCAGCCAAAAAGGCCGTCATACAAGGCCTTCACGAGAGCGTCACGTGCGTCGACAGCGAGCGTAGGCCGCAGTAGCTTGATAGTTTCGGTTTTTTGCACAATCAGCGTCGTGGCCACCATTTCTTGTCGCAGTGCTGCCTCGTCAACGCGCCAAAGGCGCACGGCGTCCCTCAGGTACTTTTCAGTTGCCTGCCGCACCTGCGCCCCCTCGCCATCCGCGTCAAACATGACGTTCAGCAAGGAGAGAATACCACCCACGCACGCCCAGACGGAGTGCACCTCCTCCTTCCGCATACCAATCTTCCTCATGGCACCAACGACGTCATTGTAGTCTGCAGCCGTGTCGTACTCCGAGTTGTGCAGGCACCCGCCTGCGTTCAGACTCGTGTACGCGGTCTCGCTTGCAAGCTCCAGCGTCTTGCGCATTGCTCCACGTACCAGCAGGTAAAAACTGTGGTACACCCGCTCGTTCTCCGCCGCGGTAACAATGCGGGATTTCTCCAGCAGGTACTTCGTCGTCTCTGCACCGACGAGTTGGGCCTTTGCGTTAAACTTCACCTTCATAAACTTGCCGAAGCGGGAGCTGTTGTCGTTGCAAAGGGTTCGGGCATTCCCAAAACACTCCAAGATGGGCGAACAGGCCCCCAACTTCTCCCCCACCTGCAGGCTCGCCGCCCGTTCCGCCTCGGTGCCTTCCAAACAAGACACCTGCGCGAGGTACTTTATCACAATCTTCGTCGCCTCTGTCTTTCCCGCGCCGGACTCGCCGGAGACGAGGATGCACTGATTCACGCAATCCGAGACCATGTCGTAGTACGTGTTGTGCGCCTGCGCCCACGAGTGCAGCAGGTTCTTCTCGATCACAGGGCCCTCCCGCAGGTAGCGGCTCATGTTGTGGTCCTGTGGTACCATGGAATGTTGAAGTTAAACGGGTTGATCGCCACCACAATGGCGCCAATGTTCGTGTAGATGATGTCGCGAAAGTAGCGAAGATAGAGACAGCGTAGCAGCGGGCCGTCGTGCAGCACCGTGAGCGAAAGCAGGTCATCCGGCTCCTCGTCCAGCAGATCATCGCGACAGGGAGCGACACGGTCCTCCGCCACACCGTGAAACGTCTCGCCAATACACCGCCGCGCTGGGTCGTTCGTCTTTACCACATACCCCTTCGCCTCCCTCGCAGTGACACTGGCAACAACCCACGACTCCAGCGGGTGGTCAAAAAAAACAAGGAGAGCCTACGGCAAGATGCATCTTCCTTCCCTGAGGCACAGCAAAAAAAAAAAAAGAACAACAGAAATAATAACAATAGTCAATAAATCCACCACATCACATTTCTGCGGGTCCATCATCAGCATACAACCACGAATACATCATTCACAAAGCAACACCTCAGCAGCTAAATGATGGCAAAACTCACACAAACACCACTGCCACTGGTGAGCAGCGTGTGGAGGTCGCGGGTCGCACGCAGCGCAGCGTCCCCACCTCCAGCTGCCCTCCGCCAGTCGCAATGAATGTGAATGGTGTCATCTCCAAGTCTGGCCTCAATGGGTATCCTGTGGAGCGGCATCGATGTATACAGCCGCCAAGGGACCTGTAATGCTGAGGCGTGTGCGTGGCCAGTCCACTCTCCCGAAGGCAAGTCCGCCGTTGGTGCAATGGGTGTTGGTGCTCCACGACGGTGCTACCTGCGGTGGTCGCGTAGTGCGCATTCCCCGCGCCCGCCGCTCAGTGCGTTAGTTCTCGTCACGCGTACAGTCAGGTGTATAATTAAATTGACACATCATTGGCAGGCATGGCGCGGCGCCCACCCCACCCCACCCACCCTGGAACACTGCCCACGCACTCCACAGGGGAAGCACTAAGCAGCCAAGAGGACGGCGACAACAAACGCCAGCCTTCGCTGTGAGGAGGAAATAAAGAGGGGGGAGAGTGAAAGAAAGAGAAAGAGTGGTACGGGGGGCACACACGTCAGTCCCGTGCCTGTGGTAGGTAGCTTGTTGCACGGAGGTGTAAGTCACTGTCGCATTCATACAAATGCCTCGATTGATCGCATCATGATGGTTCTGGTGGCTCGCGTTGACGCCGTCGGTGCAGCTCTTGCGGGCCCGATTGAGACTGTCACGGCACAGAAAAAATCATATACAGCCGCCGCCTCACCCACGGAGCACGCTTCACTCGCTCACGCACGCAGGACACACTCCCCGCAAGTTTAACGGCAGCGGGATCTAGGGCAGCACAGGTGCAGGCGAGGTGATCGTTGTAAACACGGCGCCTGTGTTTTCGCTGGCCGTCAGCATCGATGGCAGTGGACACACCGCGGAGGAAGGTGACCGAAAGAGGGTGACTGGGGTGACAGGGCGGCGGCACACGGCTCCTGCAACAGCAACGGAGGAGAGCCGAACAAAAGGTGCCAAACAGCATGCTTCAACATCCCCTTCTGAGAGGGCAGCAGCGCGTCTGAGAGCCGCGGTGGCTTTTGACTTCATTCCTGTGCTATTGGAAACGCCACTGAATGTATTGTCACACGGATGAACTGGACCCACTGCGCTGGCCACGTAGAACATGGGCGAGAGCAGCTGCCTAAAGCACAGAACAGCCCATGCCCTACGTTTCCCTATGCAGAAGATGAATAGAAATGAGACCATTTAGCTTCGTGTTCAGCGTCAGCGAGGTATGCTAATTCATCAGCCAAGAAAGAGTCCGAGGCATGCTTTGCCGGCAGTCATAATCACCACGTCGCCGTGAAAAAAGGCGGTGCTGGAGATGCCCTCAACCTGCTTCTCGTGCAGGGCGGAAAGAATCGGATTGGGTGCGTCTTTTTAGCTTGCTCTTTTGTAAGGTCCGTACAGAACTGAATTTTAAAAAGAAAATGCCGTTCTGGACACATTCTTAGCAAGCGTCCGCAGGAAGCAACAAATCCACTGCTAACAAGGCAAAAGTTACGAAATACCAAAGTTGAACGGGATAGGGGAAGGCGGTCGCAAGGGAGTGAGTCGGGTGTTCCAGAGAGTTATTGCTTTGACTTCACGAACTTCGTGCCAGTCCGCCGCGAGCTTCCATCACTGTTCCTCTCATCAGCGGTGAGGCGTCAGCCGGAAAACAAGTGAGAAAAACCTCCATTAACTTTCGGGCCACGCCATCATCGGAGTTGGAGCCCACCACCTCCATATGCGGCAACGACTCCCCCAAGCGTCGCTGCCCGTTGCTCATGATGCACCCCTTCGCCACGGAGTCGAGCATTTCCATGTCGGTCATGCTGTCACCAAAGGCAATGACGTCCCGTTCGGGATCAAAGTTTAGGATCCTGCCAATTTCCCGGATCGCCGTAGCCTTCGATACCCCTGCGGCAACGACATCCAGGCACGTATCTGACACCAACGCGGCCACTGCACGTCCATGAAACAATTCACTGATTTCATTCTCGTAGCGGTGCAATATCTCTTGGTCCGTGCATAAAAAACTCACTTTGGCGACAGCGGTGGTGGGAGACGTCCCAAGAAGATCTGAGTGC